TTCGTGCGACAAATAAAATTTAAATTTGTTGACAGCAAAAACGACGGCGTATAGTTCCAATTCTGTAGCAGGGTATTTTCGTTGTGCGGCATTCAGTGTCTTAGATGCGTATGCTACTGCGTGTTCTGTACCGTCTTTCTCTTGGATGAGGACAGCGCCAACGCCAGCGTGCGAGGCGTCTGTATGCAATTGTACTGGCTGCTCAGGATCGAAGTGGACCAATATCGGAGCGTGTAAGAGGCGGTCTTTAAGAATCTCAAAAGCAGTTTGTTGTTTGACTGTCCAAATGAACGGTGTGTCTTTCTTTGTGAGCAGCGTGAGTGGAGCAGCGATATCAGAATAATTAGGAATAAAACGTCGAAAATAGTTCGTAAAGCCTAGCCAAGCGCGTAACTTTTTTATTGAAGTAGGGATCGGGAAACTTTGGACGGCAGCAATTTTACTGGGATCTACCGATATGCCGGCTGCTGATACCTGGTGACCGAGAAAGGTTACCGAAAATTGGCCAAAAAAGCATTTTTCAGGTTTAAGCTTAAGGCCAGCGTTTAAAGGAATTTCAAAAACGATGCGAAGGTGTCCTAAATGTTGCAAAAAATCTTTGGAGTACACAAAAAAATCGTCAACCCAGATCAGCAAAAATTGTAACTTTAGATGTCCGAGAAGCTTATCAACAAGACGGCAAAACGTCGCCGGGGCGTTGCAAAGGCCGAAAGCCATGCGGTCAAATTGGAAAAGTCCGCCCGGAAAACCTGGCGCGGGGGGTACAATGAAGGCAGTTTTGTGCCTATCCTCGACGGCAATTGGTATGTTATAATACCCCGAAAAACAGTCAAGCGAGGAAAAGATGGAAGCTCCGTTAAGGGAGTCAAGCATGTTGTCGATACTGCCCATTGGGTAATTGTCTTTTACCGTAACAGCGTTTAATGGTCTACTGTCAACGACCATAGGGCTATCACCACATTTTTTTAGTATTAAATGGACATTCGTTGCCCAGTCACTTTCACATGGTGAGATAACGCCCAGTTTTAATAAATTTTCAACTTGTCGATGGATTTCCTCCGCCTGCCATTTTGAAAAACGTCGCATTGGCATTTTAACTGGAGAGGCGTTTCCTGTGTCTATTTTGTGTGTCAGAAGGGGACAATACCCGAGTTCCTGACCGGGTAATGGGAAAATACTACGGAATTCTGCTAGCAATTGGCGAAGTTGTTGCCTTTCATCCTCCGACAGCTGCGGATTAATATTTAGCTTATCAAGAAAATTATCATCAACAGCCACTGGAAGGCTGTGTTGATCAAGTTTCGAAATAGACGGCAGCCAGACATGTTCATCATCAAGATCGTCGTTAAAATTTAATTGACCTTCAGACTGATGCAAAACATCTGGTTTAGAGAAATTAAAAACATCTGGGACGCTCAAATTATGAGAAACGGCTGACTTTTCAAGCACTGGAGACCGAATTAGGTCAAACTTGTTTTGATCTTCGTCGGAAATTTCGGTTATAACTGGCGGCGAGGTCACACGTGCGGACATTAGCAATGGCGGCGTACTCGAGAAATACTTATTAAACTTGACAGCAGGATATATGCGTGACGGCTGAACTACATTAATGAGCAACAGGCGAGCAAAATCTATCATGAGCGGCGCATGCGACAAGATATCCATACCAATTAGCAAGTCATATGCAAAGTTATGCACAATTCCACATACTGCTATCATATTCAACTTAGCCAGTCCAATAACAACAGCTGCAGCATTCTCACACAAAATGTGTCACCCGTTACCACACGTAAACGGGGGATTACCCTACAAACTGGCAAATCATTCTTTTCAACAAACTCTCGAGAAATCAACGACAGTGCACTTCCAGTATCTAATATGGCTATAGCAGGTACAGAATTAACGTACACATTACATACAAGAGCACCAGAAACAAAAGATTGCATGCTGGGCGGGTCGACTTCTGCCACGTTTGCCCAACAAAACGCGACAGGTGCTAGTTTACCGAATTTCCCAAAACAGCCGGTTGCGCGCTGCCGGCCGCTTGGGGGTCGACCATCTCGATCGGAAGAAAAAACTGTGCCCGCGGTGTGGTTTTGCCAGGACCGGTTAAAGCCAATGGCTGCACTGCCTGAACAATGGGCTGAAATTGTTGTGCAGCGTTGGGCGGTGGCTCAGAGCGATTGTAATGCTGACTAGGCATGCGGTAGTAACTCGAAGCTGAAGGGTGGGAGTGGCCACCTCCTGACCTACAGAATCGAGCAATATGCCCTCGACGTCCACATGTGAAACAGATGCGATTCGTGTCCTGGCCGGAATTATAATCGGGTCGAAAGGATGAGCGCCAGTTACCTCGGTTGTTGTTCTGTTGATAGTCATTCCGTGCCCGAAAGTTGTTATTGTTCCGCGATCTATTCTGATCCTTAAGTTGCTTAATCTGATCTTCTATTGCCTGAACCTTCGTAGTTGTTTCGGTCAGCTGCTGAGTGACTTGAGTGAAAACAGGTGACGCCAATTCTGTATTGAGCGACAAAGGGTTCAATTGAGCTGCGAGACTGAGAAATTGAGAGGAAGTGGGCTGTCCAAACCGTGCACTGTTTTGCATAGTCAGCTTATACTGTTGTTTGACAGCGACATCACGTAGGCGTTCAACGAAGTCAGCGACGGTTGCAGGGGTGTTGGTCACGAATGCCGGTTTGAATTCAATGGGAAGTGACTCGAAGAGACGAATCATTTTTTCTCGTTCGGTAGCGGCCGGATTCACAGTTTCGACGTAATCCAAAATACGGTGGACATAGGTGCGAGGATCGGTAAATGCCAGTGTACGACAGCCTTCGTTCATAAGGTCAAGTTCGAAGCGAGTTTTCCCAAAAGCGGCTAAAAAATGAGTTCGTAAATCTGTCCAGTCAACGCCTGCAGGTTCGGTAGTAAACCATCGGAGCGCGTTATTTCTCAAACAGAGCGCAAAGTGCTTGGTTCTGTCTGCCGGTGTGAAATTATTAGCGACTGCCATTGTCTCAAATTGCGTTAAAAAGTCATGCGCATCTTCATACGACAACCCGCCAAACTTCGGCAGATCACGCAGCTGAAGAGATGTTACACCAGCAACTGCAGCACCATTCTGATTATTCACAAACACAGCGCCGTTTTGATTGTTCAAAAAATTAAGCAAATTCTGATGAGCTGTCGCGTTATTCTGAAGACTCTGCTGTAATGCGGCATTCTGCTGATTAGCTGCGGTAGCGGTATTAAGAATATTTTGCAAATCCTGGGGAGTTAAAGCCATGACATCGACTTGCTGTTGATTATCAACCATAAGCGGTCTAACAGAAAGCTGTTTTCGCAAGTGGGAATTAGCGTGCTGTACTTTAGCTGCGTTACGAGTTTCCAGGTTGAAAAAGGATTCGATAGATTTTAAATTACGATTTAGTAATTGTCAACTGAAAGGAAATTGGATGGGTCAATTAGTGACTTACCTGTTGGACAGGCAGGGCGGTGGTGGGGTAGCGGTGGACAAAGGTCACTCCGAACGCAACGATTTGAGAAGTTGAAAAATTTCGATTCTCGGTATGCGACTCCAAGGCCTCGTCCCCAATCTGTAGCGTATCTCGTTACGATACAGCACCGTAGCTAGTTTCGCTGCAGTACAGAAATGGGACACTCTTTGGTGCGCGCCACAAAGGTACAGTACAGGCTTCGCATATCGAAACTGGGCTCGCTATCGGTTTCCTGTATCGAATCCTCAGCTTTGGCCCCATATCGCTGTATTTGCGTCCCATCGCTCCGATCGCATATCGCACTGTTTACCAGTTTTTATGTGTGCTCTGTGTGTTTTTATGTGTGGTGAAAAATTCGAAGTTTGTTTGAGGAATTTCGATTCTTGGGTTGATTGTTTTTATGCCATCATTCTAATTAGTTCCTAGTGTGAATTGTGAAATGTTTGTTCCCTGGATTGAAAGTTTTTGTGTTTGGCATCATAGTCCACACTTCGCAGTTGGTGATGCACTGATGAGACATCAGTTGCATTTTCAAGCCATCCGCGCAATTTATTTTGACAAGCGTACAATAATAATTGTAGTGGTACATACGGATAACAATTCGCAAAATCAAGTCTTCTTTTCCCAGCCTCGCTTTTTTCTCCCAATCAGTATTATGTGGTAATGAATGGGAATTCAGTTTTACGTTAATATGTTCGAAAGCACACTCGGTGTGAACGATCTTTTTCTCCATTCCGCTTCTTTGAAGCTATGTAATTCTGCATGATGTTGTTATCTCATAATATTGACGAGCTGGAACAGGTGGAATTTTTAAGAAAAGCACATTTCGTATGTGCATTTAACTGAGATTTTAAAATGAAATGAAAATAGAAATGATATGAAGCGTATACATCTTTAATGTTCATTAAAAATAAATAACTCTCGAGAAAAAAATATCGCCACATTAACATAATATCCAAAAACTCACTCATCTGCAAAAGATACAGGGAAAGCCCTCTGGAGGTGGCTTCATAAATACTGTATCGTTTTTCTTTGTATTTCAGGGTATGCGTAAAAAGCGCGCGTAAAATTTTTGGCTGATATGGGACGCGGGGTTGGTACGGGATTTGAGATACGGTTCGCTGGATACCGTATCAGAGAGTTATGAATACGGGACGCATTAGGATACGGAGCATACCCCCGTCCCTAATCTTTTCACGGGTAACGAGGTACGCGAAGCGAGAACCGCCATACCGTATCGCGTATCTCCTATTCTGGGACGGTGGTGCCCTGTACCGTAACGAGATTCGCTACAGATTGGGGACGAGGCCCAAGTATAACGGGCAACGGAGACTGGCTCATACGGAAATATTGTTCACCCAATCGACCGAAGAAATACAACACCAGCAGAGCTATATATACTGAACCACTCGTACAGGAACAGGAAACACGAAAGGCGGTACAACCCAGAACATACTCGTACAGCACCAATACCAGAGGAGGAAATCCCCCGTTACAGCGAAGCGAGTCACGAAGCTGGTACACTGCGGCAGAGCCTGAAAAGTCTCCAGCAGCGTTTCGCTGCGTTCACACTGAACCTGTCCAGAGAGCGCAAACACCCCGACGATGACGGACGGCCGGAGGAAAACGGTGTCCTACCAACGGAGACGCACCTTTTGCGCGAGATCTTCCAGTCACTGGACAGTGTCAGCCGTTTTAAACTGCACCGCGTGTCTCCCCTGTGGAATTCCATCTTGGCCGACGCCAAGACTGTCCGGATTTCCTTCGAGATGAACCCGTTTTTCACCGCAGTATACGGCGCCGTGGCGGGTCTGATCAAGTGTATGAATGGTGGAACACAGCGGCTTATTATTGAGCAGATGACGAGGGACAAGTTGGATGGTGCACTGACGGTGATTCAGTGGATGCTGCGCAATACCCACATCCAGCAGCTGGTGTTCTCTAATGTGGATTTTGATTGAGACGACCGTTTCATGGGGTCCGAATACGCCGGGAACGGTGGTATGGCTGCTGAGGAGGCGGAGACCGGAGGGAGCCGGTGGATACGACGTCTGGTCCAGCATCTGAAGGTTTTGGCGCCTAGTTGCGATGCAGTGCGGCTTCGACGTTGTCAATTCCGCTGTCACCAACAAATGGCCGCGATTATCCCGGATGCTGTACTGAAACCGGATGCAGCGGATATGGAAGCACAATTCTGGGATCTCTACGAGGCCAGTCTGTCCCGCGACGGAGTAGATGTGCAGGAAATGGCCGAGTGGATTCGCACAGGATCGGAGTCGTTTCGCACGATGGTTGTTCAGGTACGAAAATACCGAAAAAACTGGCTGGGTAGAAATGTACGGTTTTCTTCTACGATCGTAATGATGGCCGATGCGGCGACTAGTTAAGCTAAAATGGTATGCACACCGCTGATTTATTATTAATTTATAGAAGTATTTAACCAATTCTAATGGTTTGTTCATGTGCAGTATCTCAAGGATTGGCAAAGTTACGATCCGCGACAGACGACGCCGTATCACGGTCGCGAGTGGACGGTGGAGAATCTCCACGAGCTGGATGTTTCCAAGCTGATCACCATCACGTTGCGTGCTTTGAAAGAAGTTCTGCCGGAAGCTTTGAAAGATGCGGAGAATTCTGGAGATTATGAACTGGGCGAAGGGGAGGATGGTGGAGAACTCAACGGAGGCATTCAAGAGGATAGTGATGGAGAGTCTGAAGATGAGATCGATGATGATGATAACGACGACGTGGGCGAAGACGAAGATACAAAGAGCGATGAAACTGATGATGAATAATTTGCCCGAAACTGTCTTGTACCGGGTACTTATTTTGCGCGAATCGTATGGTTTGTTTTCTTATGTTACAATTAGAAAAATTCAGCCTGCTGTGTATTGGTAGACCGCAGCCCAGCTCTTTTGTGAGGGATATGACTGCAGATGATTATTAAAATAATTATTAAGAAAGCGGATATTCCGACAGAATTAAAGTTAGAGGAAGGAAAGTTGGTAGACAGCAGAAATTTTTACGTTGGTCATGGGTCACTCAAGTAAATTTGAGCGGAAATGTGAGGTACCCTGTCAGCAAGAGTTTTCCTGCTGCTGCTTTCAGTACTCTGTAGTAAAAGTAGTGAGATTTGTACTGTGGCGTATTCGTCCTAATGGCTAATTATTTTCGCCGCAATCCGATCCGCAACAACGCTCAACGCGGACGCCCTGGCTACAGAGTACAGGCATTAGACATAGGAAAACAAGTAAAACAGTACGCTTGGCAGCTAAATGCAACAAACTTTGCACTGGGTATCATGAACTACAGCGGACTCGCTATTGCTGTAGCTCATGATATGCACGAACGGAAAGCCTTACTCTCCCGTATCCGTACTGGCCACTCAGCACCGCGGCGTGTACACTGTACACTGCACATCTACAACACCTACGGTACATCGTAGCGGCAGTACAGATCCACGTTCATTTCTTGATCAATATCAGCCGCGGATGGGCTCTACCCGGTGGCATTTCGCAGCTATCACACCTTCACTATTACCTGGTGTGCGCGTGGGGGAATGATCCTGTACGTACACGTTATCCTGCTGCCGGGGATTATGCCTAATTTATCCGGGATGCTGCGTATTTCCGCATCCCAATGGAGATTGGTTGCTGGGTGAATGGTGCGGCCCAACCGGTGTGGACCATCCTGGAATCCACTGTGGTGTACTTGAATAACATTCCCATTTTCTTTGTCCCCGTTTTCTATCCAATGCTGCAGTGGAAGGGGCTGTACAGGCGATATGTAAAGTTAACGTCAGTGGCGCCATCTAGTGACGGGAAACAAACCAGTCCATCGGAAGCCGCTGCTGCGTCATCGCGCCGGGGCGCGCTGTGACCTTTCTTGGCTATAACGTTATGCACGGTATTGTTGCTGGTGTGCTGGGCGTCGAGCACGGTTTATTTTACGCTGATCAATTTCATCCCGTCCGAACAATTGGAGACCGTCAGCAGCGTAGCAGCTGCGCTGTATTCCTCACAATCCGTCATCGATCCGCGAGTGTTGTGTCTCGGCTTTCGAAATCTCGACAGCAATCTCGTTGCACTATGGAGAGAACTGAGAAATCGCTGAATACTGGAGACCTTTATTATCGCAGACATGAGGCGCGAGGAGGTTTTTATGTTACGTCCAGCTATTCGTTTTCTCGCTTAACATTTTCCTCGTTTTGTTTCTCGCGCATTTTCACGTTTGACGAAGAACGTATTTGAGTACAGTGTGGTGTCACTTGAGCGTTGAGTCTTTTCTTTCTTGAGGAACGTTCTTAACGAAGATGGATGCGTTTCGTTGGCAGGAAAATCCGCTATGCTACCAGCAAACATATCGAGCCATGACGTTGGTGGACAGCGTTTAATTCTGGCAGTTGTTGTTAAATGCAGTTGCAGCTTTGGAAATATTGATTATCAGGGTGGCTCGTGCCTCGTATTATTTAAGTTTCTGCTGATTCATTTTCAATCACTGCTATTTGAGCAGGCTTGTTAGAGGGATCTGGAAGTTGCCGGTTAACACTCGCCCTCATCCATGTGCCTAAGAGGCACATTTAATAATTCAAAAATTCATGGAACGCTACACTGGCAGTTGACTTCTTCCTATCTGACCTGAATTCCTCTGAAAATTTGTTTGCTTTTCACTTACTGAAACAGCTGGTGAAAATGAATTAACTGAAACCTTTAAAACTACTAATTCGGTAATTCCAACAGCTTCCGGTTGGTGAACAAATGGCAGCCTCCCAGTGTGGCAGCGTGATTTGGCTCTGCTGCGAATTTTGCGAAGTCCTCACTTCTTTTCAGATTCAGTTTACCGATTCAAAAGCCACTCTTTCCACTTGCGTCCTTAATGAAAAGCAAGAGCAAAGTGTAGAAAACATTTTGCGTGAATATCAGACCGTTCTACAACAGATTTGGGCGAACCCATGGGCTGCGCCTGCGCGGCACACAGGAATACTTCGTGTAATTAAACCATAGACGAGTGCGAGTGTTAGGAAGAACGATCTGATGAAATATGCGTAATATTGTTCTACCCAGTAGTTAATAAAAAGACAGTTACATATTTGTATTTATAGCTGATTATTAAGCACGTCGTTGGCTTATGTTAACTGGAGAGCTTTAGCATGAGCTAAAATAAAATCTGAAGTGTGTTGATGCCGTTTATCTGTGAGTATTCCCTCTACAAATAAAGAATAGAAATTTACATCCAACACTCAATCTTAATGCCGGCACATTTACGGGCGCTGTGCCGGAACCAATGCGGTACTTTTACAGCGCTTTGCCTTCTTTTATGGGCGATTGCTGAGTTGAATCAACGGTAGTATATTTTCAGGACAAAGGAAAGCGGAATAATCAATAACACATTCCATTAAATTTACGAACCATTTCCTACGTTTTATGCGGTAATCCGCCGATCGACGCTGGTCAGTTGTCCGTATATAAAGCTGAACGCGTACATGATCTAAATACATATGCATACTCCTTTTAACGAACGCATCTGCTTCCTAATAACATTTCGTGTTACAGTCCTATAACTACAGTTGAGAATGTGTCGTACACTGTTCACCGTACTGTTGCTAATGGTGGCCATCGGATGCGTGATGATTGTGCAGGTGGAGAGCGGCACGATCAACGTGGACCGGATCGTCTTCGGAGCCGGGCGCTGGTCGATTCAGCCGGAGGACACGAACGTCGGCGCGGTACTGGTGTTCCGCGATAACTGGTACGGCGGGGATAAACGCTTCGCCATGTACCCGGGCAAATACAAAGATTTGTGACCTTTTCGCAGCTACAGCAACGGCGACGCAGAAGGGGCGAATAGTAAATAGCCTTTATGCACTGTATAACTCAGCTCTCCACAGCTACTTTGACCCTCACGTTACGGAGCTATAAAAAACGCTTTTAGATTAACCTTTAAGCATATGGCTTTATATGAACCACGGGATGTTCGCTGGCGTTCCGCAGTGCAGTCGTGCACCGAAATGTTTCTGCTGCGATGGTCGGAGAAATGCAAGTAATTAAAGTAAATGAATTACAACGCTACGGACAGAATGAACCCTACACCAATGGTCTTAATCTTCGAACTCAGCAAAATATTTTCTGCGAAAGTCTTAGAATGCTTCGGCATTCTCTTCGTACTGAGTCTGCAGCTTTTGCTTAGAAAATAGGCAACAAATGAAATATTTCCTAGCCTTTCAAGTCATAACTGTGAGAAAAAGACCATCCTACCAGGTGGCCTCTGTCACTGCTCACGACGGAACACCCCCCGGAAGTATCGACGAAGTTTATTGGAGATACGACCACAAAATCCACCAACAAGGCAACAACCAACCAACTGACATAAGGGAAATCTTTAGCAAGCACATCTGTGCTGCAGATCCGTGAAAAACATGCAAATGCCCACAACAGGACAATTCGCAGTAACAACCATGGGAAGGGGGGCTGAGTCCTGGGCTATACGTAAACCCACCCTGACAATCCAATCGCACAACATACTGCAAAATTACTAGAACTTACGTATATAAATACTTAAGCTTCTGTTAGTCAATCCTCTTCCTTGGAAATTTGGATCAACAAACAATTCACGACATACAAGGACAAAATTGATTGCGAAGCAAGTACAATCACCGAAAGTTGCCAAGCGTCTACTGAGGATACCGACACTATTCAGGCTTTTGCACAGCCTATATGTACATAACTATATCTCGTTGGAGAGTCCCGGTTAAATACCAAACACCGCGTCGATGCCCAGCACCGCCAGCTTGCTCAGTTGGCGTACGTCAATATCTCTCAGGTCCACGTCATCCCAGTCCCGCGGGCGGCCGTCCGCAGTGAATCCGTTGAACCTGCAGCCAACAGAATTGCTCTACACCACAGCAAGTACTGTATTGGTTCCTGATTCCTCATTTAAACCAAATTAAACGGACCATGTCACGTGGGAAGGGCACTTACACGTTGAGATACCTGCGAATGGTCTGCCATTCATCAGGGTATGCCAGACTGCTCCTCCACCGCTCGTGCACCAGCGTCACTTTACCGTAGACGTCTTCACTAATGCTAACACAATGCGCGTCCACGCCCCACAGGTAACGACTGATCACGTGCTCCCAGCCGTCCTCACAGTTTACAACGAGCTTCTCGATCCGAAGTCCCCGCCCATCAATGGGTAATGGCGTTGAATATGTCAAAGGTAGCAAAAAGCGTCTTTCATGTTCCGGTAGCGCTACCAAAGGTTCTGTTGGCTGCTCGTATAATAATTTCTGCAGTGAATCATTAAACCATCTCTTCACTCTCCAACCGTGCATGACCAGTCGCTGGCAACTCTCTTGAATAGAACCGAATACTAGATAGTAGTGAGTATAGCTGTACACTATCTGGAACGACTTCATCAGCAGCCACGGCAGTTTAATATCCATGGCCTCCGTTAACTCCAGCACGTTGATTAGGAAGATCCAATTAAACAGCATGACATCCCAGTCGATATCGTCACTGTGATAGTCGATGGCAGTGATGGTCAGACTCTTCGTGGCGGATGTAATCGTCCGGCACAACATCCATATCACGTGATAACATTTGTGATCCTTGCGGCCCCACGGGCCTTCTTTAAGGTTTTCTGTTAGAATACTCAGGTGCTCCGTAGCTCGGAGCTCGCTCAGCATGACATGCCACAAGCCACATACACTGAAAAGCAACGCTGGATGAAACATTATACTGTAATCATAACCTCACAAACGCGGGCTAATGTCAGTCGTACACTCTGTAGCGTATACTA